GTTAGGCCACCCACAATGCACAGATGTTCGGCAGGTCACATTTTGACGCACTCAAAGAGTTCAAGTACGTGCCGAACACTTGCACATAAGATGGCCTAAAATCAGGACGTAACTAACTGTTGATGCCGGACGTGTCAACAGCTAAGGTCATTATTCCCGTAAATGTAGTGCGCGTTCAATAACAAGACGTGGCTGAGAACTTCTCTCGCCAGATAGCCTACCGTCGGCTAGCTGTTTTCCCCAACCAAGTATCTCCCATCAGTGGGTAACCGCCCCAACCGGGACAAGCTCTAAGCTCCCGACCGGTCTCCCGGCATGTGTGGTAGTGGAGTGCGTGTAAGTAAGGGGTAAGGACGGGACATGGAAGAGGAATGAAAGATCGCGAGTAGTCTGTAGCCCTTTTGTGAGCACCACACAGGCATCTACATACACTCACACTCTCTCACACATTACACTCTAAGAGACTACACATGCCAGGAGACCGGTCGGGAGCTTAGAGCTTGTCCTGGCTGGAGGGTCTCCCCCGCAAGCCGAACCTCACGTTCTGGCGGTGAGTAGCTCCACTGTGTCTCGCGAAAAAACATTCACGAGACAACGATAATAGCGGTTGACGCGATCGGAAACATTAGTATAATCAATGTATTGCGAATATATAATTAGGCGCAAAGTCTAGGGCTAGGGAACGACTATCTTAACTACTTAAAAAAATCTAATGAGCTCGTTGTGTAAATAAGTGTCGCTGTGTAAATAAGCTCGTTGTGCTGTGTAAATAAAGACCGGATTTTCATGCAGTAAAACTTTCTATATCAGGCAGTAAAAATACCAAATGTTGCAAAAACATGCAATAAAAAGGTCAAGACTTTGCAATATGGTTTTATGTATCCTAAAAACTTTAATTAATCTACTCATCGATTTTATAATATTTTGAATGTGATATTTACGGTGAATGAAATATTATCATTTTAGTATTGTTATTGTAATCCAGTTTGTACACACTGTTTAAACAAATATTTTTTGACATCTTAAATATTATTCGCAAATAAAATTAAATTAGTATAAAAACACGAAAAATACAAGATTCAGAAATCAAAAATCTTTAAGTTTCAGAAGAAATGTTCTTAATTGTTTGCATTATAATTTACACGTTTAATTCCAAATTCTTCTGTCAATATGTTTCATACAGGAAAAACTTCGTTCTACATACTTGTCACGTTGTCTGTGTGCGGTGCCTCACTCTGACGTACGAGTGCAGTGCTAAAAGTCGTCAAAAACTGGATTCATTGTTTGTTGTACCTGGCAGGGCAACGTCTGTTCCGGCAAATTCTATGAATTTGAAACGTAGTTAACCTTGTTGCAAGGCTTTGCGCGCAGATATATGGTCAAATGTGACTCGCGCGCGCTGTCTCGTGTGGGTAAGTTCAACGAAGACTGACAAAATGGATATATGATCCGTTTGGGGAGATGGACCCCGAACATAGCGGTGCCTTATGAGGCCACATCCAAGGGGCGCGGACCTAGTTCGTGGTAACGTTGCACATCCCTAATCCCAAAAGTGGTCCCTCAGAAATTTTATTTAGACACTAGAATTCATGAAAGGCATAGACGCTGAGGTCGTGGTACAACAAAATGAATAATTGACACATTAAAGGCACTCGGGTTTCACAGACTATCCGAATAAACAGCTGGGTAATGCCATTAAAACATTATTCTTGAACGAAACTATTAAAAAGGTAAATTAAAACATGCTGAATATATATATATATATATATA